AGCTGAGCCTCTTTGACTGATAGAAAATATTACATTTATTATGGGCAGTATTAGCCCTTACATAGTTGTGGGAGCTGGTTAAGTCATCTATGTCTGGCGTTGGGCCAAGAGTCTCTCCTTGCATTGAACCTCAGTGATATGAGTGACCTGCAGGATAAGGTCATGCCTTTGGCAACACTGCTGCACGTATACCTGGTCCAGGATTGAGAGATGCAGAATGAGGTGATCTAATGGGAGCTGCAGAGTTGCAGGCCATGCTGCTGGCTGATGCCTATTCAGTGAGCCAGCAGATAAGTGCCTGACCCTACAATGGTCTTCAGAGCTTCGGATCTTCATTAAAATGGGTGCTGATTTACATCTGCCTTCCAGATCTCACACACATTTTTCTTTTGACAAACCCTAACCTAGAATCATATAGGGAAGGGAATTCTGGGAAATTTAGTTCTATCTTAGCTAAGTTGACACAGAATGAAGCCACTACAAGTCTGCTTCTGAGTAAGTCCTTTACTAAGCAATGGATTGGAGATATACATCTGCTATATTTTCAATCTGTCTCAGTTCATGAGTGCTTCTCATAGTGTAAGCATTACACAGAACTGTGTGCAATTCTGCTATTTGGCTGGATTTTTCAAATGAGACTGCTTTACTAAACACTAGCCAACTGCTTCATTACATCTCATCTGAAGAAAGTAATCTGTTCCAACGCTGAGGAGAAAGACTAATTGCATTGGGTCTATGAACTGGGAGATGGTATATATGGGTCTCCAACATGGTGCTGTCCTAAGAAGGGATTTCTGGAGTAGTTTTGCCCATATCCAATTTTCCATTTACAATTTGACTCTGGAACCCAACCATGGTTTTAGAACCTTCTATAATAAATATTTGTTAGATAATAACAATGAATTGTGTACTTCTAATCTGAGGGATTTTCTAGTAAGTGTCTGTATTCCTCTTAGTAACTAGCAGAGTGCTTGGCACAAATTAGGTACTCAATAGATGTGGGTTAAATTATTTATTGAAGATTTCTATTGTGGTGTAATGAGTGTCATAAATGTTTTCTTTTTCAATAGGTTTCCAGTTCCCCTTAATATAAGCTACTTAATACACTGTGTGCCTTGGGGGTTGGGTAAAAGTGATTGCTTATATTCAATATAGGTTTTGCAAAGCAAGTTGGAGCTTGTAGAAAAGTATATGTACATAGAAATACTTCAGAAAACTTCAGCCTGGTTTTTTTCCTTAAGTTTTCGCATAAATCATTGCACTCTAACTGTACTTCTCTCTCTCACTCTCTTTGGTAAATTGTCTTAAATATTATTAAAGTATTCATGTTCTTGATAAACAGTAAACAAAGGAGAAAAGTGAAAATAAAAGTTATTGTCACTCTTCCCCTCCACACACAATTTTACATGATCCAGAAATACCACTGTTAATATTTTTTGTTTATCTTTCCTACAATATCTTGTATGTTTACAAAATATATAAACATGTATACATACTTTCATATATATTTATATTTGAAACAAATAGGATCATATTATGTATAAATACCATTCTATAATTGGTTTTCACTTAATTTATCCTGAAACTTTTTCAACATATGCACATAAATGTACAGCTTTCTTTTAAGCAAACTCTTGCAAATGTATTCCAATGTATGGATTTACAATTTAACCAGTTCCCTATGATGATCATCTTAGGTTAATTCTAAGTTTTAGCATTGCAAACAGTGTTGCGCATACATATATCCTTATATATTTCATGCCAACATGTCCAAAGAACACATTCTTAGCAGTGGAATTGCATGGTTTTCCTGAGCTTTATTATCAACTGAAAAGTATGTATCTTCAGGATATATAATGTTTATACTTTATTAGAATTTGCTAGTAAACATAGGGTCACATGAACCTACACAGCTCCTTTTGTTAAGAGACCTTTAACAAAAGGAAAAAAAAGACCGTGGAAGAAAAGTCTTTTGTCATCATTACTTTTAGAGCCTCCTTTTGCCATCTATAATTTATGAATCATTAGCATTTATAACCATCTTCTGGAACTGAAGACAGCTTTTCTAGAGACTAAAAGTGTCATCACCATATTTAATTCAAAATCTAATCTATTGTAAGAAACTAATATATTTTTATAATTTCATTATTAGGATAGAACAATAATGCTGTTATTGCCACCAACAATGAGCTAGCTTAACAATTGCTGTCAAGATAACAATCAGAAAAGAGTTTGCCCAAACACACTCAGCCTTCTCACTATGTGATGCCTTATGCTACCTCAGGACCCTACAGAATCCCCACCAGCAAGAAGACTCTCCCTAGATGTGGGCCCCTTGACCTTGGACTTCTCAGCCTTCATAACTTCTGAACCTATTGCAGACAATGCCATGGAGATCTTGCTCTATCTTTGTATATATGTACAGGTTTATCTAAAGAATAAAGTCTCAGCAAACATTGAGAAAAAGGAAACAAAAGAATTTGCCCGTTGCTTGCTGTTGATCCATTCAACAAAATTCTCTGCCTATTTCCCCAGCCTACTCTGCAGGTACAAGGGCTTTAAGACCAAACAACATCAACAGACTAGATAGAGGACAAAAGTCAGGTGGTAAAAGGGAGAGTAGAAGGAAATTATTTTCCTAAAACCTAGTTTGAGAGGCTCAAAACTTAGTCCTGAGCTTTTTAGTAGCCAAGGTAGAGGGAAAGAGGCTGAATTATAGAGCTTGGCATTATCTAGCACAGAGTTTCTCAGTCCTATTAGATCCAATGATTCTTTTTTATAAAAAATATTTTGTAATGCCTTATAATCTTGAAATGAGGTTTGTGGACAATATAGTTCATCCACCCACACCATTTAAAAATGAATGTAAAGCTATAACTCCAATACAATAGACATTTAAGGTAAATAATGTATAGTAAAACACTATATAATTTCACCATGTATATGTCCAGGCATGACTATACAGAAAGGCATAAAGAAGTCACTGCAAGCTTATACATGTAGGAAGAATCGCTATGAATGCAACAGCTACAAATGCAACCTGGTTCAGGTGTGTTGGCTACTTAACTACAGGCCTCATTTATGGTGAAGACACAATTTTCCTAAATGGCAAAGAATTCGTCTTAAATCCTGAAAAAAAAGAAACTTCCCCAATTTACTTGGATTTTGAATTCCTAAAAAATTAATTGATACTGAAATTGAGCAAAAACCTGTATTTATATGTAAAGTTAATTTTTTCTAGGCTCTAAAGCAGACTCTTTTTATTGTTTTTGCCTTACATGGAAGTCTAATGAGATATTCATAAGTGATGGAGAATGTTGAACAATCTTTATTGTGTAGGACTGTCTTGCACATTGCAGGTGGTCTACCATCCCTGGTCTCTGTGCACACCATGTACCAGCAGTTCCTCCCGCCCACCACCATGGCAACAGCCACTTTGGAAATCTGCTTGGCATTATCTATTAAAATTGATCAAATACATTTCCCATGACCCACCAATCTACGTCTAGTTATATACACATCAGAAATGAGTACATATATCCATCAAAAGTTTTCTATGAGAATGTTTTCAGCAGCATTATTCTAATAGACTCAAAGGAAACAATTCAAATGCCCCTCAACAGTGGAATGGGTAAGTAAATTGTGCCCCAGTCATACAAAGGAGTAATATGCAACTGTGAACATGAAAAAGTTGCTACCACAGAAACCGTGGGCGAATCTCACAAATACAATGTGAGTGATAGAGCCAGACACAAAAGAATACAAATTATTAATTTTTTGTTTTTGAGACAGAGTCTCACTCTGTTGCCCTAACTAGAGTGCCAGTGGCATAAGCCTAGCTCACAGCAACCTCAGTCTCCTGGGCTCAAGCAATCCTACTGCCTCAGCTTCCTGAGTAACTGGGACTACAGGCACATGCCACCATGCCTGGCTAATTTTTTCTATATATATTTAGTTGGCCAATTAATTTCTTTCTATTTTTAGTAGAGACGGGGGGTCTCACTCTTGCTCAGGCTGGTCTCGAACTCCTGACCTTGAGCGATCCTCCCACCTGGGCCTCCCAGAGTGCTAGGATTACAGGCGTGAACCACAGGGCCTGGCCACACATTATTCCCAATAGTTCAAACATAGGCAAAAATAATCTATTGTATGTGTTGAAACAATGACTGGAGAGGAAATGAGGAGCATTTCTGCTGTACTGACAGCATTCTTTCTTGACTTGGATGAGGTTACAGAGGCATGTTCCCTTTGTGATGATCAGCAGAGGGGAAAGTATGAACACAATTCTTCAGGATGAGAGTTGTGACGTGTACTGTACAGGGAAGGGGGAAAACGACTATAATTTTAAAAAAAGTCAACCCCGCTCCTCCCCAGTTTTCCAGCCCCCCCATGTCCTAGGAGGGGAGCCGAGGGAAAATCAAATCAAGAAACAAATTTCAGCTCAATCTCAAACCCTTCAAGCAGATCCGGAGACTCAAATGTCCGTTACTCTGGGCAAAAAGCATTCCCAGATTCGTCCAAGGTGTTTGCAAAAGCTACCACCCTAACCGCCAAGTCTCTTTGATATTTGGGGTAAGAGGGAAAGGGAAAAAACAAAGTTTTTTTTTTTTCAAAAGTTACTTCCCGACCTTGCTGCCCCAGGAGCTCCCGAATCACCGGGGCAACCAGGGGCCACCCATCTTAAGGGGCGGGGCCGAGTCCCCCTTTGACGCCTTAGCAACCAAGCGAGCCTTTGTCGCGTCCTAGCTACGCGCCCGCCGCGCTCTCCCGGGGCGGAGCCTACGCCTCGCCCACTCCTCGCTGGGTCTCTCACTGGTCCGGAGGGCGCGGATTTGCTCACTCTGACTCAGTGCCAGACAGCTGTTGGGGTTCCTGCGGTGGGAGGGCCCGAGAGCCAGAGCAGGAGAGTGGATCAGCGAGAAAGCATATTTAAATTTATTTAAGAAGGAAAAAAAAAATCAAAAAAATTCAAGAATTTTTATTTTTAAGGCAAATCCGAAGCTCTGGGGAGGAGGAGCTGTAGGGTGGGAAAAATAATTTTTGTGCAAACTCTTTATAAGAAAGAAAGAAAAGAAGCCCTTCGAGGACCCAGCACGGAGTCGACTGGGAGCCGGAGATGCTGGACACTATAGTCCCTTCTCTGCAGGACCTGGACAGGCAGGTTCTGCCCACGCTGCCCTCGCTGAGCCAGGGAGGTAAGCGGCATGAGGTGGGGACTCTGGGGACGGAACCTTCACCTGCTTCCCTATTTCTTGGCTCAGGCCTGGCCTAGAGTGGCTAGGTTGCCTTGGCAACTAGCTGACAATCACATCAGCCCCACGCTGGATGCCAGAGACAATTTCTTTACCCGCTGCCTTAATGAGGGAAAGGGGCCACCTGAGACTTTTGATTAAATGAGATAATGCATATGCAGCTCAGCTCTGGGACTAGCACAATGTAAGTTCTCAATAAATGCTGGTTAAAGCTTAGCACTCCCCATGCTCCCCCCACTGGGGCAGATCACAAACTTTTTGCCTCCCTAGAGAAAAGCTGTTGTAAAAGGACCCTAAATGGCTTGTTTTCAGAGTTCATGCAAAGACACGGTTGTTTTTGTTGCCCTTGACATCTTGCGGTTGTATTAAGAAAAGGAGATGATCATATAAAGGTACTGGGTAAGCATCTGGAAGGGGACCCTGCAACTTCTCAGAGAAAACTTAATAGGCTTGGTTAGTAGCAAGACACAATCTGTTTTTAGCATAGTTTCTTAGAAGAGTCACCTCAAAGTGATATTGAGATCTGTCTGCAAGCATTAGGAGCCCTTCCGAAGAAAGGTGCTCCAGAAATATAAGCTATTATTATTATCAAGCCATTATAACTTAGAGATGTAGCCTAGGCCTTAACCAAATGATTTTTGAAGATAAAATAAATAGTAATGATGCTTCTTCTTTCTCTTACCCTACATCACTCCTATTTTTTCCTGTCAAATATTTCTAATAGAAGCATTAAAAAATGGTTTTATGGATTTTAAAATATTTGTAAGTTTATGTATGTATCCATTCAAGTAATTTCAAAACCCTTGTAAGTGCGGAACACTAGAGAACTGATGGTGAGCAAAAATCTTGAAATTTACAATCTAGTGAGGAAGATACACATTAATCAAACAATCACACAAATGTAAATTTACAGTTGAGGTTAAGTACTACCAAGGAGGAGGTAAATGATACAATAAGAACTGTTTTTTTTTTTTTACAAAAAATCTATTTTTTTAAGAGCAGTTTTAGGTTCACAGAAAATTAAGAGGGAAGGGACAGGTTTCCCACATACCCTCTACCCACATACATGCATAGACCCTCCCATTATCAATATCCTACACCAGAGTGGTACATTTGTTACAACTGCATTGATTGACATAAGAACCTGCATTGATTGACATGTCATAATCACCCAAAGTCCATAGTTTACGTTACGGTTCTCTCTTGGTGTTGTACTTTCTGTAGGTTTGGATAAATGTATAATGACGTGTCCACCATTATAATGTCATACAGTATTTTCCCTGCCCCCAAAGTCCTCTGTGTTATGCCTGTTCATCCCTGCCCTTACCCCAACCCCTGGCAACCACTGAACTTTTTTACTCTCTCCACAATTTTTCCCTTTCCTGAATGTCACATAGTTGGAGTCATACAGTATATAGCCTTTTTGGATTGGCTTCTTTCACTCAGTTATATGAATTTAAGTTTCCTTTATGTTTTTTTTCATTGCTTAATAGCTCATTTCTTTTTAGTGCTGAATAATATCATTACATTATCTAGATGTCACAGTTTTTTTTTTATTCCATTCACCTATGGAGGACATTTTGGTTTCTTCAATTTTTTTTTTTTTTTTGGTCAGGCTCCTTGGACTGGAGAAGTTTTGTCAATTTTGAATAAAGCTGCTGACATCTGTGTGCAGGTTTTTTAAAAAATATTTTTGGATATAAGTTTTCAATTCATTTAGGTAAATACCAAGAAGCATGATTGCTAGATTATATGGTAAGAAGATATTTAGTTTTGAGAGAAACTGCCAGACTGTTTTCTAAAGGGGCTGTATCATGTTGCATTCCAAACAGCAATGAATGAGAGTTCTTGTTTCTTCACATCATCACAAGCATTTGGTATTGTTAGTATTCTAGATTTTGGCCATTCCATTAGGCATGTGTATCAGTATCTCATTTTAATGTGCATTTTCTTGATGATATATGATGTGGAGTGCCTTTTCATGTGCTTGTCATCTGTATATCTTTTTTTTTTTTTTTTTTGAGACAGAGTCTCGCTTTGTTGCCCAGGCTAGAGTGAGTGCCGTGGCATCAGCCTAGCTCACAGCAACCTCAAACTCCTGGGCTCAAGCGATCCTACTGCCTCAGCCTCCCGAGTAGCTGGGACTACAGGCATGCGCCACCATGCCAGCTAATTTTCTCTATATATTAGTTGGCAATTAATTTCTTTCTATTTATAGTAGAGACGGGGTCTCGCTCTTGCTCAGGCTGGTTTCGAACTCCTGACCTCGAGCAATCCGACTGCCTCGGCCTCCCAGAGAGCTAGGATTACAGGCGTGAGCCACCTCGCCCAGACTGTATATCTTTTTTGATGAGGTGTCTGTTGTTTGTTTTCTTAGTGCTTAGTTTTAAAAATCCTTTGTATAGTTTTGATAGCAATCCTTTATTAGTTATGTATTTTGCAAATATTTTCTCCCAGTCTGGCGCTTGTCTTCTCATTCTCTTGACATTATCTTTTAGAAAGCAGAGTTTAAAATTTTAATGAATTTCAGCTTATCAATTATTTCTTTCCTGGACCATGCTTTTGATGTTGTATCTAAAAAGTCATTGCCATACCCAAGGTCATCTAAGTTTTTTTTCTTCTTTATTTTTTTTCCACCCCTTTCTTCTTGTCTCTGAGGTCATCTAGGTTTTATCCTATGTTATGTTCTAGGAGTTTTGTAGTTTTGTGTTTTATATTTAGGTCTATGATCCATTTTGAGTTAATTTTTGTGAAGCATGTAAAATCTGTGTCTAGATTCATTTTTTTGTATGTGGATGTTCAGTCGTTGTAGCAACATTTGTTTAAAAGACTATCTTTGTTCCATTGTATTGCCTTTGTTCCTCTGTCAAAGATCGGTTGACTATATTTATGCAGGTCTATTTCTGGGCTCTTTATTCTGTTCCACTGATTTATTTTTATATTCTTTTGCCCATACCATGCTGTCTTGATCACTGCAGCTTTATGGTAAGTCTTAAGGTTGGGTAGTGTCCGTCTTCTGACTTTGTTATTTTTCTCAATGTTTTGTTGGCTGCTCTGTATCTTTTGCCTCTCAATATGAATTTTGGAGTCAGTTTGTTGATATCCACAAAAGAACTTATTGGGATTTTGATTGGGATTACATTGAATCTGTAGATAGAGCTGAAAAGAACTGACATCTTGACAATGTTGAGTCTTTCTATTTATGAACATGGAACATCTATTTATTTAGTAGTTCTCTGATTTCATTCCTGAGAGTTTTGTAGTTTCCCTCATATAGATTGTGTACATATTTTGATATTGATATTGATCATAGGTGAATTAACGTTTATAGGTGGATTAATGTCTTTATATTAGCACTTTTTGGGGTGCTAATATAAATGCTATTTGTTTTTGTTTTTATTTTTGTTTGGAGACAGGGTTATGCTCTGTCTCCCAGGCTGGAGTACAGTGATGCAATCAATCACAACTCGTTAGAGGCTTGAACTCCTGGGCTCAAGTGGTCCTCCTGTCTCAGCCTCCTGAGTAGCTGAGACTACAGGACACCCTAATATTTCTTATTTCTTGTAGAGCTAGGGTCTCACTATTTTGCCCAGGCTGGTCTCAAACTCCTGGTTTCAAGCAATACTCTAGCCTCGGCCTCCTAAAGTGCTGGGATTTATAGGCATGAGCTGCTGTGCCTGGCTGGTATTGTGTTTTTAATTTCAAATTCCACTTGTTCATTGCTAGTATATAAGAAAGCAATGACTTTTGTATATTAGCCTTTTATCTTGCCATTTTGCTATATTTGCTTATTAGTTCCAAGAGTTCTTTTTATTGAATTCTTTCAGATTTTCTACATGAATGATCATGTTCTTTATAAAAAAAAAAGAGTTTTATTTCTTTTTTATCATTCTATATACATTTATTTCCTTTTTTTCCTGCCTTTTGCATTAGCTAGGACTTCCAGTATGATGGTGAGAAGGAGTGGTGAGAAGGACATCTTTGCCTTGTTCCTGATCTTAGTAGGAAAGCTTTAAGTTTCTTATAATTAAGTACAATGTTTGCTGTAGTTTTTTTTATATATTCTTAATCAAGTTGAGGAAGTTCTCCTCTATTCCTAGTTTACTGAGAGTTTTCATCCTGAATGAGTGTTGGATTTTGTCAAATGCTTTTTCTGCACCTATTGATGTGATCATGTGATTTTTATTTTTTAACCTTGTTGATGTGTGATGGATTACATAAATTGATTTTTGAATGTTGAACCAACCTTGCATATCTGAAATAAATCCCACTTGGTCATGGTATACAATTCATTTTATACATTGCTTTTTTTGATTTGCTAATATTTTGTTGAAGATTTTGCATCTATGTTCATGAGAGGCCTTTAGTTTTCTCATAATGTCTTTGTCTGGTTTTGTTAGGGTAATGTTATCGTCATAGAATGAGTTAGGAAGTATCTTCTCTGCTTCTATCCTCTGAAAGAAATGGTAGCAAATTGGTATAATTTCTTCCTTAAATGTTTGTTAGCATTCACCAGTGAACCCGTTTTGGCTTGGTACTTTCTGTTTTGGAAGTATCAAGGTATTTAATTATTGATTCAATTTCTTTAATATACACAGGCCTTTTAAGATTGTGTATTCTTGTGTGCGTTTTGGCAAAATATGTTTTTCAAGGAATTGGTTCATTTCATCTAGGTTATCAGATTTGTGGACATAGAGTTGTTTGTAATGTTCCTTTATTGTTCATAGGATGTATAGTGATATCCCCTGTTTAATTTCTGATATTAGTAATTTGTATCCTCTCTTTTTTCTTATTTAGCCTTATAAGAGGCTTATCAATTTCATCTATGTTTTCAAAGTGCCCCCTTTTGTTTTTGTTGATCTTCTCTATTGAGTTCCTGTTTTCATTGTCATTGATTTCTGCTCTAATTCTTACTATTTCTGTTCTTCTACTTTTATTGGATT